GTGTGTTTCAGATCAGAGATTTAAACCTTTCCTAATTCCTTCGGCTGTATTTAATTATTTCTTTAGTTGAGCCTCTAAAGCATTTTGTCCATACCTCAAATCCTGCTTCTTACTGCAATCCTGTTTTATATTGTTTTATTTCCCTAAATTAAACCCCAGATTAAAGAGCATCTTTGTGTCCCTGAAAGCACCTAGAACAGTTCTTTGCATGAAGTACTAAATAGATATTTTTGTATTTATTAAATATATAAAAATGACTAATTTCAAAATTTGTTTTTAATTTAGTCCATACATTGTATAATCAAGAAAGATTAACGATCTAGAATTAAACTAAAAGACAACTCAGAGTTGTCTGAGTTGTCTGAGTTTGACAACTCAGAGTTGTCAAATTTCTCTCTGTTAAAATATATCTAGTTCTACGATTAAGGACAAATCTATTTTATCCTCCTGCCTCAGAAACTAAGGAATGGTGACCTAGAAAACAAATTCCACATCATGAGAAAATGAAAACCATCATATTCTAAAAGACATATCTCATTCAGTGATTTATCCCAGCATGAAATCAGGTATCTTTTAGCCATTTGAGAATGCATACAGACCTTTCTTTCTAGACAGCTACTGCTATTATCAGAGTCCTATGGTTTAATATAGTTATATAGTTGCTATAGTTATATGATTTAATTTAGTTATCGATTTTAATAAAATACTGTTATTTTAGAAATCACTTTTTATACATGAAAAGGTTTAAAAATCTGTAACTACTAAGTTAAAAAAAAATTTCCACAAGGAAATTACTGAAAATGTAGGCAGCATTCATCTTCAAATAATTCATCACCCATAAAATATAATCTAATTTTATAGAGCTACATTAATTCTTGTAAACAAATAAACAGAAACTCAATAAAATAGAGTTGGAAGACCAGAAGGGGGAGCTCTCATGCCCTGCAATGCTAGCAGAGCCCAACAAGAAGAAGGAAGACTCCTCTTCTTTCCTGGCAAGGACTCAGCCAATGAAAAGCCATGGACTCTTTGTTTATGGTAGCCCTCCCAACTTCCTTTTCCTCTCTGTAAAAGTGTTCTCCTTTCCTGGCAGGCGGGGACTTGCACGTGACTCACCATGTAGCCAACCCCAAGTTGCAATCTTCTGCTGATCCCAAATAAATCCATCTTTCCTAGAGAAATATCTGGAAGTTTTGAATAAAAAATGTTATTTGTCATATCAGTAAACAAAGGACACTGCCATCAAGCTGCCCCAGACAGTGAGCCCTGAGGGAACTCAGGACAGAAACAAACGGGCTGCTTCCGCAACGGTGCACCCAGAGAGAACTCAGGATGGGAAAGCACAGGATACTGGCCTCAGAGAGCTGAGGTGCACATCAGAGGAATGAATTCAATGAGCCTTGCGTCTTCCCACACACAGAAAAGTACTAAACTCCTTGAGATGCCTGGTTTTCTTTGGTTAACGGTAGACTTTTGATGTCCTGACTACCTGGTCTTCGCTGCAACAACCCCTATATACCCTGGCTCCTCCCTTACCTCTTAGGGGTAGTCCCTCAGAACTATCTGAGACGCTGTCTTCTGGGCTTGAAATCCTCAGAAAACCACTGAATAAAACATAATTCTCAACTTTTACGTTGTGTATTTTTTTTCAGTCAACAGTCTCTTTATTTCAGGTCAACACTCTTTAATACCTTTTTAAGTCTTAAATTTGTATTTCAAAATGGAGAGGTACTTCATATACATCCACTTTTCATAACTCTCTTCTCAGTGTTTCGGCTAGAACTTCAAGCATTTGAAATTTATTGTTGAACGAGAATTACAACTAACATACCAGAAGAACACTAGGAGGTATCTGCCACAGTTAATTTTATGTGTCAGCTTGATTGGCCAGGGTGCCCAGATTAAACATTATTTCTGGGTGTGTCTGTGACGGTATTTCCGGATGAGATTAGCACTTGCATCAATGTGGGGGGGCATCTTCTAACCTGTTGAGGGCCTGAAAAGAACAAAAGGCAGAGGAAAGAGGATTTGCCCTTTTTTTTCCCCCTGCCTCACTGCTTTGAGCTGGGACTTCTCATCTCATCTTCTCCTGACCTCAGACTGGAATTTACACTATTGGTTCCTTCGGTTTTCAAGCCTGTGGACTTGGACTGAATTATACCACTGGCTTTCCTTGGTCTCCAGCTTGCATGGCAGATTGTGGGATTCCTCAGCTTCCATAAACATAAGCCAATTCCTCATAATTAAAAGAAAACTTACATCTCCCTCCCTAGCTATCTATCTTCTATTGGTTCCATTTCTCTGGAAACCCTAATACAGTTGACCCTTGAACAACACAGGCTTGAACTGCACAGGTCCACTTACATGCAGATTTTTTTCAGTGAGTACATTCTCCAGTACCACATAATGCAAGGTTAGTTGAATCTGTGAATTCAGAACCACAGGGGGCCAAATATAAAGTTATACTCAAGTTTCAACGGCGTTGGGGGTGGTACCCCTAAGCCCCGTGTTTTTCAAGGGTCATCTGTGAACATTCTCACAACTACTGTAAATACAGACGTTTTATCTGAAACTTCCTTCAATACACCTTACCAAACAACAAAAGTAAACATACAGCTCTGAAATATCCATTACTGCCATAACATAAAGAGTTGAAATTTATTGCAAATTTCTGAAATCCTTCATTAAAAAAAACAATTATTTGATTAAACAGTGGAAATTTTTGTTGGGAAATATAGTTTACATTAGTATCAGAGAAATTCATATAACTGTATTCAAACAGAAGATCAGTTTAGGTTATTTTCAGACCACAATTATGTAACTTACATCAAAATCCCACTGGTTCCCTCTGAACAGTCTGATAAGAGCTTATCTGATATACTTCAGTGGTAAGTTCTCTACTTCTGCTAAAAAATCATACAAAACCAAACAAAAGCCAAACAGAGATGTTATGTTTTGATATGGACTGCAGCTATTTAATTGTATTAATCTGAAGACTTATAAACAAATACACTGTTAGGGATTAGCACTGTGCAAACTATCAGCTATCAGTGTGAGCTCTCCATGGCTTTCTCTGGTTACCAAGTATCATTTTGGTCCTCTCTCATTGTTATAAGTGGGTAAAGGTCAAGAAATGCCAACTAAGTACAAAGAGAAGTGATTTTTTTTGCATAGTATCTCATTTTTTATTACCAGTTTCTAATGTTTTTCTCATAACATGAGTAGCTATTAAGGAAACAATAAGAATATCACCTGTATTCAGTACCTCTTCATCTGAAAAAGGCTTAAGTAAACACTAATTAAAATATCTGGGATCTTAGCTGTCAACACTTCTCTAACTGAAGTCTTTTAAATAAAAAGGTTTTCTTTTAATTTTTTTATTCACCTAGGATTCTAAGGCATACAAGAAACCAAGAAGTCACACCTTTCCTTCAAATTATACGTTACACACGTATTGTAAAAATATTGAAAATTAAATAATTAGAAATTGCATTCAATACATGACTACTTATAACAAATTTAGGAATTGAAAGCATTATTAGAACACAAAAAAAACTGCTCAAATAAAATTCTAGATTTTTTAAAACAATAAAGTCTGTTACTTATCTAAAAGCCAGTACACTTCCTTCTTTGGTAGCTATTAAAATGGTTGTGTTTGCAGAGGATTTGTAGGGCAGTGAAACTACTCTGTATGATATGAGTGGTGGATACAGGTCATTCATGTATTTGTCAAAACTCACAGAATGTACAACATAAAAAGTGAACCCTAATACAAACTATGGACTTTGGGTGACAATGCGTCAATGAAGGTTCAGCGATTTTAACAAATGTACTACTATGGTGGAAGGTGTTGATAGTGGGGGAGACTGTATAAATGTGGGGGTAGAGGGTATATGGGAACTCTCTGTACCTTCCTCTCAATTTTGCTGTGAACCTAAAACTGCTCTAAAAAACAAAGTCTATTTTTTAAAAATCTTTTAAAATAGTTGCCATTTGTCTCAAAGATTCAAAATACCACCAAAAAAGGTGATTTTTCTCTTGAAAGTCCATGTGAGTACTCACTAATACACCATTTTTCACAAATCTAAAAAAAATAATTATTTCAAAATGCAGTGTCAGAGAGTACCTGTCAACATCCCCGGTATACCATAAACTCTAGGCACCAGAAGCAAAGGGCATGTAAAGTATGTACATTTTGTAGCTTGAGGAGGTGGTACCTAGGAAAAGGGGAATTAGTATTTATTTGGGAAAATCTTAATGAGATACACAGAACAAGAAATGAAAAAGGCATGCTTAAGTTACAGCAAAGTATACTTGTGGCCTAAAATATCACTATCTATCTATTGGCATGTGTGGTACAAGGTAAGAGAGAAAGAAAAATGGAAGATGAAGCACTTAGTCTACCCATTAGCAAAAATAAAGTCACTACTTTCCAAGATCAGGGATGGTGTTATTGGTTTCTCCAAACAACTGTGCTTTTTGGTCATAGCTTGTCTGACCAACTAAACTGAAATTATCCCTACATAGTACTGAGTTGTAATGAGTACCCGAGAGAAACTGCAACAGAAAATATTTATTTGCTACATAATGTTATCATGTATGGCCAGTTTTAAAATACAGGAACATATTCTAATGTTGTGGATTATAGAACAAGCAATTTATATTTAAAAAACTAAAAACAAGGAAGTGATTATCATAAAATATTAAATTTGCTATTTAAGCTCATTTAATTCTGCTAATTAGGATGGGCCATATGGATGATAACCTTATTTCAACTCCAATTAAAACAAAGAGGATGTGAAGGAGGAAACACAGCAAAATGTGTGTACACTGGGTTTCCAATTAAACTTCAACCTTCTGGCGTTTTCACTTATTCTTGCCAAAATGTAGTTTTCTATATCTGAAGTTTCTTATAGATAACTAGCTTACTAAGTGGCAATGTGATGACTTAAGGGTAAGTAATGATAAACACAGGCCACAAACTTTCCCCAAATGAGAAGAGTTGAAGTGGTTCAATCCACTTTTGCCTTCTGAGGGAAAATATGTAGTGAGGGGTTAAACAGTGGAGTTAAGATCTAATCACTCTTGACGAGCACTGAAATAGTGGTAAAGTCTAGTACTAACAGAGACTTGATATAGTGGATTTTGAATATCTATGTAACGCTTTAAAAAGCCTATAAACATAATATAGCAGCAACTATCTATGACTGATATTCCCATTGACTTTATAATTTATTTAGTTGCCCTAGTAATACTACCCATTTATTTTATTGTCTATTTCGGCCAGTTTTAAAGCATTTCCTTTACTTTGGATATCTGGTAAAATTCATCCCATTTTTTACCAAGTTTGATTTTCTACTTGATCCATTATATACTATAATTATGGCCTCCATAAATAAATTGATAAATGTACTGATCTGTCTCTTCAAATTGGCAGCAAATTGAAATCGCAAGTCTTCTAAAAGAATGTCAAGTTTGTCACCAAATTAATGTGCAGGGTCTTCAAGATGGATTTAATTTGTGCCACTTGATAACAACCTTTTCTGGATTTTTAACTGTCTCTTTCCACTGGTTCGCTGCTTCAGTGTTATTACTGTCTTCACTTATCCAAATCTGTAAAGGAACAGTACACTCATTAAACTTAACACAATAATGGTAACTGAGTTCAAACCATTAATTACTCTTACTAATGAAAGACAGCTGGACGTTTGGTTTACATATTTTCAACTAAACATCTTTTCATTTTTCCAAAAGTTTGATTTCTCTCTTTGAAACTTGATGTTAAAACACTGAACCTATTTAGTCACTGAAGACTATTTTATATGACCCAATTCAATTTAAAAATTCAATGTGAGATATTACAAAATCACTTCCTCCAAAACAGTTATTAGTATCCTTTCTTTCTCAATAAATCTAGGAGCTCAACTTAAAATTGATCCCAACCACTCAAAAACATTTTTGTAAAGAGTAATTGAGACTAATCATGATTTAAACTGATTGGTAAGGAATGTGCATTTTAAGTATCTTTTACATTAAATAAAACTGTAATTTTAATTGAAATCTAAGAGTCATTCTTCATACCAAACAATTTCATTGAATCTATCACTTAGGTAACTTTAGATAACAGATGTGAATGAACTTGGGAAAACTGTAAAGCATTTTGCAAATATAAGATATCACATTGTATGTTATGTATCACGGAGACAAGGTGAACAAGGAAACAAAACAACCTGAATCCTCAACTCAGCTACAGCACTAACAAATGCTATTACTTTGGAGTTAACTTCTTTGAGACTCAGTTTCTAATTCTTTTAAATAAAGAAATTGGAGCAGGGCACTCCAAAAAAGGTTTGGTTTTCAAACTTTTTTCTCTAAATTTCTTGGTCTGAAGAACTTTTCCTTCAAATAAAATCTTACAAAACACCCCAACATATGGAATAGATAACATAAGAGTGCACTGGCGGATAGAGGAGTGGGAGACCTTGATTCCACACGTGCCTGCCCCACCATGGTGGCTCCTGAGGCTACCAGAGGAGCCAGAGGGAACAGATGGCCAACAGGAACCTTCCAGAATTATTATTCTTAACTAAAATCTCAACCAAGAAAGTGGAATCACCAAAAAAGTTATCCTGAAAATCATCTGTCAGGTAAATCTATTCCATTCATACATGGTAGTTGAGGCTTGACAATACGCGAAAACTTTAACTGAATTCATTTCATAGGCCTCAAGACTTTGAAAAGTTTGCTAGTTATACTAGGTCTTGAGTTCAAACTCTTTTCCAAATAAGAATAGATGAAGAACAACAAAACTATAGTACTTCTGACAAATATTTTAGGTAAAATATATGAAGTGAGTGAGAGTATCAATCTTTGAAAATTCACATATAATTTGAAGATTACAGGTAGACTGCTAATAACATCTTGTCAAGTAGAAGCCTTTAGACTAATAATACAGATTTTGGAATTTAAACATGAGTCAAACAATTGTAATTAAGATAAAAGATACTGGACAGCTATAGTAACTCATTTAGAGTAAAGAAAGAACTACAAAAGGAAACAAGTTCCTGTAGGACTGGCAAGTAAGCAAGTCTTATGTTGTCTTATACAAATTACTATGAATTTTTCAATAGTTTAATCCAGATGACAATACTAACTAATATCACAACCACTGTTAAAATCGATGTTTTCTAGGAATTCAAATCTAACACAATTCAGCTAATAGCATACAGAGTTAAACATTAAATTAAACATGACACAGAATAAAGTAAGCTGGATACCTTAAGTGAGCCTTAAGAAATTTGACTGAAATACTTAGTGTTCCCGCCTTCACAAGGAACGAGTCAGGAGTACTGAAAAACTGATCTTCCTTACTGATTTTAAAGTTGAAAAGCTCAGGAGAAAACTTATTTTAAGATAAGAAGCCTGACTGCTGAGAAATTCCAACTATTTTTGTATTAAAGCAGAAAGTCTGACAAGATTTGATTTTTGTGGTGAAACTGAATTTTAATTTATGATGAACAATTTTACTCTATTCAACCTCAAATTTATCCTGTATTCCCTTTGTTAACCAACTGTTTAAATGCATAGAAAAGTGCAAGGAAAGGACCAGAGATAAAAACTCCCTACTAACCTGCCCCACAAAGTGTCTTCTTCCTACAGAGCTTCGACTGTAAAGCTTAATGAGAAAAATAATTTCTTTTTCATTTTGTATAAGTGGAAAAATCATAGTCTCTCCCCACTTTACTCTTCCATTGGAGGCCTTCAGTAAGCGTGTCTTCTTCTTATAAATCAACTCTCCCGAGCTAAACATTGCCACCTTCACAAAAAAACCTAAAGAATAAGAAATTTTGATAAATAAAACATTTTAAATGTCATATAAAGAAATATATCCATATATTGTCATAAAAATATCAATAAGCTACTTTTAAAGATCTGATGAGCTAACTGCCATAACAGAAAATATCTCTAGTAAATCTTATAATTATTATCATAATTTATAAGTAACTACTCTAACCTTAAATGAATTTAATCTTCCTCTAACCTGGATGCCCTTAAAGACTGAACGGCAGACATAAATAACAATCAGCAGCAAAGGAGTACACATCGAAAAGGATTATACAAGAGAGGTGCCAACTCTTTGGAGAGTTGGAGTAATTTATTTCACAAATTTATATAGGTAAAATTCTTTGCTTGAGACTCCAGAAGTTAAACATATGCCCACTAGAGAAAACCTATTCTTTAAATAAATTTGAGATGTAGAGCTTCCAGTAATGGTAGAAAAGCTTTTACAGACTAACCTCTCATAGATGGCAATTATAAACTCTGGGGAAAATATTAAAAACAACTGTTCAAGATGCTAAACATTGACCAAAAGCAGAAAGAAACTAGAGGTGAGTTAACTCTTAAAAGATGAGAACTGCACTAAGTAAAATTCAGGTTTATACAGTTTTTCACCTAAGCCTGCTCCCCAGTCTGACATGCAGTGCTTACAACTCGAGCAAAAAGTGCAGTCTGACTAATTTGAGAAGTGATGGTATAGAGCTGGGGCTGCCAGACAGCAAGAAAGTAAAGAGAGAGTTTCCAGAAAGGAGGGAGCCACAAAGTAAGAACTGAGTAAGAACCATTATTTATAAAATGGAGATCACTGGTAATCCTGATTAGCAGTTTTGATTAAAGGAAGATACCTGTTAATGTAATAAATTGCACTGTTTTGTCCTTGTTTCCTAGAATTAACCCTATATAGTCTTGGTAATTTAACTTATTCTTTTAATGCCAACTTGGACTTTACTTGCTTTTTATTTTATGATTTTTCCATCTATCTACATAAGTGATGGTAGTCTATAGTTGTTTTTTGTGTATGCTGTCCTTTCTGTTTTGATAACAAGAATATGCTAACCTCATGAAGTTACTTTTTCCATCTTCTTTTCATGCTGTGGAACAGCTTATATAGAATAGGAAATATATGTTCCTTGAAAGTTTGGTAGGATCTGCCAGTAAAATCATCTTGGCCTCTGCTTTTATTAGAGGCAGTTCTTTAACTACTTTTACATGGTTATTGTTCTATTGATTCCTCTCTCTTCTGGAGTGAATTTCAAGTTTTTTTCCTTAGAAAATCATTTATTTTATATAGCTGTTCAAATGAATTGGCACAGTTATAATTGGTATTGTCTTCTGTATTTATTTATTTTTACAAATTTATTTATTTATTTACTTTTGGCTGTGTTGGATCTTCATTGCTGTGCGTGGGCTTTCTCTAGATGTGGCGAGCAGGGGCTACTCTTTGTTGCGGTGCGTGGGCTTCTCATTGTGGTGGCTTCTCTAGTTGCAGAGCATGTGCTCTAGGCGCGTGGGCTTCAGTAGTTGCAGCACATGGGCTCAGTAGTCGTGGCTTGCAGGCTCTAGAGGGCAGGCTCAGGAGTTGTGGCACACGAGCTTAGCTGCTCCATGGCATGTGGGATCTTCCCGGACCAGGGCTCAAACCCGGATCCCCTGCATTGGCAGGTGGATTCTTAACCATTGTGCCACCAGGGAAGCCCTCTTATTTATTTCTGAATATCTTCTGAGATTCAAAATTGAAATTATATCCTCTTCCTTGTCTATGTTTTCTTTATTTTTTGCTTGATCCAGCCTACTATAGGTTTGTCTATTTTAATATTCTTTTCAAAGAAAAATCTTTTGGTTTTATTGATTTTGTGTTTTTTTTGTTGTCCCCATATTTATCAACTTCAACTTTAGCTTTAATTTCTACTTCTACTTTCCTTTGTGTTTGCTGTTGTTTTTCTAGCTTCTTGGACTGTGCTCAATTGTATTTATTTTCAGTCTTTGTAGTTACAGTGGATATCCATTGCTTCTACCTACCTCCTGGTATTTTCTCTTCTTCTAGTAGGAAAGAGGAACACTCTTAGTCCTACTCTTAGCCCTTTAGGTAGGACTGACCTCAAACCTCCCACTCCAGTGGCAGGCATGTGAACCAGCCCTAGACAACCAAAATATCAGAATCCCTGGCTGTGCTCAAAGGCACAGGCGAGAAAGTATTTTGAGGTTTCTATCTGATATTTTCAGTGGTTTTTTTTTTTTTTTTTTTTTTTTGCACGAACCCGCGTCTCCTGCATCGGCAGGCGGACTCTCTCAAGCAGCGCCACCAGGGAAGCCCATCAGTGTTTTTTTAAATTAAGTTTCTAGTTAGCAGAGTATCGAAAAAAGGGTAAATTATCTAGGCTGGTGAAATATAGCTGACAGTCTTCTGGACACTCAACCTATATTAACTAATGAGCTAAAGAAAGAATAGCATCAAATGCAAGAAGATCACAATTGGGTAAGAATCAAGAGACCAGTGGATTAAGGTAGACACAGTGGCTAGTAATTTGAAATCCAATAAAGTAATTTTAAGTTAAAAGGTAAGTATGTAAGTTAACTAACAAATGTAACTCAGATTTTAATCTTCACTGTAAGAAACACAGGAAAAAACTACCTTTTACAAATATTTTCTGAAGATTCCACTTTGAACCACTTTGACATACTTACTCAAAGTCAGGGGTGTTGATGAGCTTGGAAGGTATTGAGCCTCAAGAATTTGTAACTGAATTCTGCTATTTACCGCTTGAAAACAAGTCCCCAGTTCAAGTTCTGCATGGCAAACCTGCATATTAAAAGAGTGTCATTTGCTAATCAAGAGTAAAGTTTTGCCATATTTCAAAAATTCAATAATAAAGAGCTAAAGTTAGAAATTTTGAAAGCACTGCTTTTTACTGACACACAAACCTAAGTGTTATAAGAGAAGGTTAAGATAAATGTCATGGATTCTGTCAATATGAGGTACTTACTGACTTTCATAAATTCTAATATAAGTTACACATACATACTGATCCTTCAAAATCAGGGAGACCAAAAGACAAATCAAATAAAAAAAAAAAAAATTAGGGCTTCCCTGGTGGCGCAGTGGTTAAGAAAGAATTCACCGGCCAATACAGGGGACACGGGTTTGAGCCCTGGTCCCGGTAGACCCCACATGCCGTGGAGCAACTTAAGCCCGTGCACCACAACTACTGAGCCTGCACTCTAGAGCCCTCATGCCACAACTACTGAAGCCCGTGTGCCTAGAGCGCATGCTGTGCAGCAAGAGAAGCCACCACAATGAGAAGCCCACGCACCGCAAGGAAGAATAGCCCCCGCTCACCGCAACTAGAGAAAGCCCACGCACAGCAACGAAGACCCAACACAGCCAAAAATAAATAAATTTATTAAAAAAAAAATTAAATTCCTAAAAAGCTTTACTAGAGAAAATGTCAGTGAAATAAACACCAAAAGAGCACATTTTCAAGACTTAAATGTAGTCATTTGAATTGTTTTTTCAGAATGTATGAAATATGATAGAAATGTTATATATGAAACGCATCATTATTTCTTCATCTGTAGAAATCAGAGGTAGTGTTACCAAAATCAGAAGACAAAGGATTACAATGAACAGATTTGTGGATTAAGAGCTGAATTACTATGCTAAATGAAAGCAAGCCAAAGATGAAAGTTGGCAAGAAGGAAGCTAGCAAAACTGATGAGGCAGTAAATAATAAGGAAAAGGTCAAAGAAAACCTGAGGCAAACAATATAATGAAGGAGATTTAGCAAGGGGGAAAAGCTAAAATGTGCTCTTCAGTATTGCTAAGAACAGAAGAAAGTAATTTGTCTTACACAAGCCAACCTATTTACATGGATTCCAGCATCCTTGGAGTGAAAAATAAAAGAGAGAAATGTAAGTCGGCCAAATACAAAAACATTACTGTTCACATGATGAAAAGAGTAAGTATGGGATTAAAGAAAGAATGTTAACAGATCTCACTAGGGCGCAGCACAGACTGACACAAAAGTCTTTGCTAGATTCCAACAAAGCTATAAAACAGCTGACTGATACTTCATCAAGCAGTTTATATTTGATAATCACACAGTATTCCCCAGTAACTGACGCATGGATCATAAAAAAGAACCTTTTTATGTACATGCCATTGACTGAATCTTGGATATTTTCTTAATACAATATTCTGTAATGGTCAAAATGGCCAAAATTGGTCATGCCATAAGAAATCAAAAGATACAAAGTGAAAAGTGAATCACTCAAAAGTATAAAATCGGGCTTCCCTGGTGGCGCAGTGGTTGAGAGTCCGCCTGCCGATGCAGGGGACACAGGTTCGTGCCCCAGTCCGGGAAGACCCCACATGCTGCAGAGCGGCTAGGCCCGTGAGCCATGGCTGCTGAGCCTGTGCGTCCAGAGCCTGTGCCCCGCAACGGGAGAGGCCACGGCAGTGAGAGGCCCGCGTACCACAAAAAATAAAAATAAAAATAAAAAAGTATAAAATCATCTGTTGAGGTTACACTCCCTCTTGAAAAATCTAAAATGATGATAAAAATTGTCTATTTTAGCCATAAATGCTGAATTCTAATAAATAAGTGAATGTACTGCTTTTGCTTTTAATCAGAATAAGGATGGATTAATAAATCTTTTTACATGAACTAATTTTGGCATCCATATATAACACCTTTGCTGATTAAAACAACAAATGTTGCAGTCTTTGGCATTTAAAAAAATACAGTTATTTATTGTTTACAAGACACAAAGGAAACCATGGATAACATTTTTTCATTAATTACTTTCATTACGGTTTTGCACCCATGATATAATAACACTTATGAAAACATCTAAAGGTGGCAAAACTTCTCTTAGTGTTACACACTTGTAGAGTTTCACTCTCATAAAACAGAGCAGCATTTGGCAGTGGATTTATCATCTCTTACTTGCCAAGGTTATTTCATAAATTCAATTTATATTCCAAGATATTAATTCGGATCATGAAAAACTATTCAAAGTGGTTTTCAATCTCATAATGACCAAAAAATTAAAATTCTAATCAATTAGTAGGTATACATGAAGAGCATTTTTAATGAGCACAAAACTGTGGAAGATAAAACATACGACCTCCATTCCTGAATAATGTATCATTTTTTAAAGAAAAGAGAACTTTCTGAGCTTCCCGGATGAAATGTTAAGCATAATTAAAGAAATCCCTTATCTGGTGATTTTTGAGAATATCTTCTTAGGGGGACAATACATAGCTAATAAAAGATATTTTCACATATTGAGGTATGGGGAAGTCGTTCTGGCTTATACATGAGTTAACTTGAATTTTATGCTAACTAAAACAGCCTGTTTGTGGCCTATCAAGCATACATTGTACATCTGCTTTAATTATTAAAGAAAAGGGCACACTGACCAGAAGTAAAGAATGTCCATGTTAAAAATAAAGATTAGGGCTTCCCTGGTGGCGCAGTGGTTGAGAGTCCGCCTGCCGATGCAGGGGACACGGGTTCATGCCCTGGTCCGGGAGGATCCCCCATGCCGCAGAGCGGCTGGGCCCATGAGCCATGGCCACTGAGCCTGCACGTCCGGAGCCTGTGCTCCGCAACGGAAGAGGCCACAACAGTGAGAGGCCCGCGTACCACAAAAAAAAATAAAGATTAAATGCCTCCCTTCCCGGGATGCCACTGCTGGTCCCCCATCCAGGATAAGACTCCCTTCCCAGGTGCCAAGGCCATATTGACTTGCTGTGCACATGCTGTAAACCTTGAAGGAATGTATCCCTGACTCATTTGATGTTCTTTGTTATGACAAGATATAAAACTGTGCTGAAAACCATGCTTCTCCAGAGCAGTTCCTCAGAGTTATCCGAGAGGCTGTTTTCTGGGCTATAGTCCTCAGTTTGGCTCAAATAAAACTCTTTTCGATTCCTATTATAGACTGTTAATTGATCATTTTCTTCGACACGGTAAAGAGAGCTGGCTGTGGAATCAGAATACCTCGGTTCAAATCCTGATTCCCCAACAACAGGCTATATGAACTCAGGCAAGTGCTTCAAGGTCTTGGTCTCCACAATAGGGATGACAAGAGCAGCAAGCTCGTAAGTTCGGCGTGAGCATTAAATCACTTAGGACCAAGTCAGTCATATGCTAAGTTTCTTCAAATGTCAGCTATTTCTTCAGGGAAATCTTATGTCTTCTACATTATTCAACACAGAAATTTGAGTTGTCAGCTAGTTGTTAAGGTCAAAAACTCTGTACTCAGGAAATTATTAGCTGTATATGAAAATTCTGCTGTTCATGATAAAACAGTTGTCAGTGTGAAGGATGGGTATGTAAGTCTGGTTCTTTCAATGTCACAATTAGAATATCAATTTTCCTCCTCAACACAGGAAACAAAGCATATTATTCTTGCTCTTAGCCAATAATAAGAAACATTCACACTCAGTAATATAAATTCACTGGTCCAATATAGCCTGAAAGCCCTTTCAAGCCATCAATCTTTGTATCCCTAGCATGTGGCATACAACAGATAGACAAATGTTTATAAAACATCTGATATGCAAAATATAATTTTGTAGAAACTGTGCCATAATCATTCATTCAGATTCTCCAAGGCAGATTAAGATTACAATGTCTCAATTCCCCAGAAAATACATTTGCTGAGTTATCTTCTACTCTACTAATTTTTAAAGATTTAATCTACTGAAAAAACCAAAAAACCTACAAGGCAGATTACTGCCCTAGAAAATCTCAAGGCTATTGGAGGAGTCAGATATGCAATCATAATAAAATGCTGTGTTATAATAATATTAAAAGAGATTTAATCTATGAATTATCCATTTAAATAGTAATATGTGCCTTTTGTAAAATATGGTTGCAGATTACTGTCTACTAAGCTAGTAGTAGATGTAAATGATAAACAAAGATGTAAGTGATAAACTCCTGTCACAGTTAGAAAACAAATTTGCTATACTTTAACAGAAAATAACAATCTAATTTAGCATGCTTTCATTCATCATTTATTCTTTCATATCAACCTACATACAAATATTCAATGCCAGGAATATGATGGGCCCTTACTACAGACACAGTAAAATATGAAGAAAAATGATGGAAGCTCAAGCCCTTTTTTTTAAAACGAGTAACTTAAATAATTCTAAGTTATAATAAATGCTATAAAGAAAACACATTTGGTATGGAGACAGAAAATAACAGACAAGAAATAACAAGATTTTTCAATTCTTCTTGATTAATCTTTTGTTCTTTATTTTTTTAATCCCTAATTTCCCTAATTTCAATTCAGTGGTTCTCAAGCTAGGCTACACATTAGAATCACCTGAGTAGCTTCAGAAACTTACAGATGCCTCTGGCTCACTCCTCCCCAAATTCTGATTTAATGGTTTAAGTGTGGGCTTTTTTTTTAAAGTTCCCCAGGTGATTCTAATGTGTAGCCAGGTTAAGAACCACTTCAAGCACCTTAAATATTTTTGAAAGTAGGTAAAATATAAATCCTATGTAAATTTAAAATCACATATAGGTTCAACCTTATAAAGCGTTATGACTGATTTCTATATATATTATCCTGACACAGAAACTATGTAATTAAATCATTAGGAATTTCTAAACAACTTAAACAGTGTTCAGCTGGCTAGTTGAAAGAAGCAACTACTGGGTCTCAAAAATCAATCAGCACCATAGATAATAAAGTTCTTTACAAAAAAACACCAGCTGTAAGATCCTCCATTCCACCCAATTTATGGACATGGTGCTTAGGCATGATTAAAACTTTCCTTATCTATTTCAAGGCAATCTCTCATTGAGTTTGGAGTTTATTGATTCTGTCTTGCTTTTCCTAAGTTATCAGCTACTAAAAAAAACCCAAAAAACTAAAAAATTATTTAAAATTATTCATACTTAGGGTTATCACATTGAAGTATGAAACATTAATTAAACATGTACTAGGAGAAAGTAACCTTACGGTTATTTTCCAATGGAGAAAGAAAAGGGGCTCTGTTAACATTTTATCAACTTTTTAAAAAATTATTAAATAATGACATAATTACAACATTTTAAAATTACATTTATGTTACTATTGCTTCTTGAGAGCCTTCCTGATCCTTTAATATATTCTAGTGTTCAAATTATACTCCAACAAACAAAAATTCACCCACTAAATAATTCTAAAAGTGTGAAATACTTTACATATTATATCACTTACAGAAATTTTTGAAGGTGGTGATATATCCAAAGAGTAATCCATTTCCTGTGTGCTAAGAGTTCTGAGTGATAGTGAGCATTCTCCAATAGTTTTCTTCCTAGGAGTTTGGGTTTGAATCTTAAATACAAGTCTTACAGTTTGTAGACTGTGGAGTTTAATAGCAAATACAAACGTTTCCATAAATTCAATAGTCTAAAATAAAAATCAAAATATAAAATATGTTAATAGAATGACTGAAAAAAGGGTCATATACCAATACAAAATAAACAAAAATAACATTTATAACCTAGGAAAGGCAAATTTAATATTTTTACATTAACAAAAAATATTTTTTAATGAAAATGAAAATGAGAATGGCCATGACTTGCTTTTCCAAAATTTATTCTGGATACGGCCCTTCTTAATTTCACAAATCCTTTTAATTACTTATTCAGGAATTTAGTCAATATCAACACCAAATTCACCAGAGTACAGCTTTTTCCCTTTTCAAAAATTAGGCTGCTCTCCGTCTTCGGTTCTGGAGTATCATTCCTG